TCACACGACGAAACATAACGCAAGCGTTGCTTCACGTCGGTTTTCTGTGAGGCCGTGGTATCACTCCGATCGAGCCGGCCCATTCGTGCCGAAGCATGGGTCTCCCACACTTATAGTGAAAAAACCACACTACGAATTCACACACGTTACGAATTAAATGTATAGTTCGACTGTACAGTTAAAACTTCATAGTTACAGGTGTGTAGCGTGTGTACTGTGGCTCTATAGCATATCATTATCCAACCAAGGAGGTGTAGCAAGATCCTCTAATTGTGTAAAGACATAATTAGAAGTTTTAAAATTAGTTGAAATTTTTTATGACTTAACGATCTAATTTTGTCGTTATCAATGTCGATACTTACCGCCCTTGGCAACTTGGCTGAATGTTCTAAATAAATGTTTCTGTTAAATGAGGGATAATTTTATTAAGGTAAGAAAATAAAATAAAAAATCAAAATTAAACTAGTTTTATATTTAAATTTAGAACAAAACTCTTTCTACAACCGTTACGTTTAGAAATTCTCCCATCTTTCCTTTGTTTTTTACTCGATTTACGAGATTTCTTACTTTTAATATGTTTATTGTTAACATTGATACTTAATTCTTGTTCACTACTATACGGTGACGATACAATGACTATTTTTTCATTCAATTCACGTTGTCTTGAAATTAATGGAGTTAGTTTTGATGCAGATGTTTTAGTTTTGTTTTGTTTTCCATCAGAATTTAGCACTAAATCGTCATTCAGTGTTCTCCTTGCCGGTATGTCATTATCTGCTTCTCCGGCATTAGTAGAAACGGTAATATTTTCATCGTTCGTCGTTTTATCAGTAACAGACGCTAAAGTATCGTTTTCTATTGACGAGTAATCATCAGAGTCAGGAAAATCTTCGAAGACCAGCTTTTCTGTACTGTCTTCGTCTTCATTTACGTATAGATCATCATCAGTTACATTTTCTGATACATTTATTGGTTTCATTTCTTGTAATATATCAATTTATCCGTATTTGTGGCTATATTATCTAAATTATTGTGAGACGTTTCTGTTGTCTCGGTAATCGTGTCGTTATTTTCCAGTTTCTTGTATTTTGTCGAAGCGACAATTTCTAGACTATCATCGTAATCTTCAATAATAGGAATCATGATAGTTGTATTGCTGACTTCATCTATATAGACTGGATCCTTGTCTGTTGGTTGCTGTGGCAACTGCAAAGTTTTAATCTCAGTATCGTTTTTCAGTGTTTCTACAGATTCTTTATCAGTGATATTCTTTTCATCTACGTGATCATCCTTGTTTAAAACCACTTCAGTGTCATCATCGCTTTTCCGACGATAGTTATCGTATTCAAAGTCATGATCATCATCATTTTCATCGTCAACTTCTAAGACATCTGTTTGTGGTCCATAGTAATTTCTTAATTTATTTTCAACTTTAATAATATCTTTGCTATTCTTTTTTCTAGTAACATTGTGGTTATATTCTTCTACAATTATGTTTACAAAATAGTCTAGTAAATGATCTAGAAGATGCTGCCGTAGTTCCCGAATGTTAGCTACGTCTGCATTCCGACTTGTTGTTTCAAATTCAAACTGTGAATCATTAGTTTCATTATTGTATTTCTGTATTTCCATATCTTTGTCTTCATTTTTATCTAACTCATTGTAATCTGTAACAGTTTTATTATCTTTTGTATTATTGGTAGGTTTTGTATCATTATTCTTTAGTCCATTTTTAGTAAATTTCGGTGGGTATAATCCATATACAAGTATGTTTTTCGGATCAATCGCTTGGTAACTAACTGGTACGGTATTGGCTTTATTCTTATTTTCCATTTTATTTAAATTTGTAGGCAATTTTGCTGGATGTTCTGGTTGATTATTCAATAGGTATCGTCTTGTTTGCATTTGATTATAGTTTGCATTGAATTTTGGAATTTTTTTATCGTTATTATCTTTGGTGTTTTTTTCAAACACGTCCTCTGAATTTCTTTCAGCATTTTCAGGAGTTATGGTGGTTTCTCCATCGCTTCTTGTTATTCGTAGGCTTTCGGTATGGTTTTTACATGGTGAGACATATACAGATTTCGCTAAAATGTATCCTATTTGTGGTATTAGAAGATATATTGCTGTAACAGAATATTAAAAATGTCATTAAAAATTTCGATTTCCGTGTCGGGCAAAGTATTAAAAAATTCTCAGTAGTAGCACGGTGTCTGGAATTGTGCCCGGTATATGGCAATAGGCTCACCCCTATTACATGGGACTCATAACATAAATAGTGAAAAGTGGGTGTTACATTGTACAGTGGCATAATGCGCACCTCTGCCTACCCCTTCGGGGCTAAAACTGATAAAGCAATGGGAATGAAATGAACTTACCAAGTTTCATTTTAATTAGACCGAGTTAGCAACCTAACGGTACACAAGTTGATACAGTTCTGACAACATTGTACGCAATTGATATTTTATTTAGTCACGCACATTATTTGTGGTGTTTTCAAAGATTATTGACTACAGACTGACTGTTCCTTTCATTGAGACTTTGAGAGATCGGTCGTAGAACCACGGACCACCACCTGAAAAACCTTAAGCGGGTTAGTTAGTATACCGGGGTCACCTAGTCTACTATATAAAAATAAGTCGGGTTTTCCTTCCTGACGCTATAACTCCAGAACGCACGAACCGATTTCTACGTTTTTGAATTCGTTGGAAAGGTCTCGGGCTCTGTGAGGTTTATAGCAAAGAAAATGCACTTTTAATCACCAAACGAAACTGGTGGCGAAACGGAGTTCGCCGGGTTTGCTAGTTACTAATAATAATACTTTTGTCACTCTCCTCTCTCTTCCCTTCGGTGTCGTAAGAGACAAAGTGACAACACATTTAACAAGGCACCAGTTCTCCCTGACAATCGCGAACCTTCGAAACTACTATTTCCAATTCAGTTGCCAAGCGTGGAGATTATCCCTCTTGTGTACAGCAAGGATATTCTCTAATTATCAATTCAAACTTTCGAAGTCAGCTCCATCGTATAGGTACTGGCCGGTCATTGGTAGAATTATTCTCACAACCGATAACATGGCGGACTGCAATCGAGTTTACCTCAATCTTTTGGATTGAAAGCTACAGAATAGCCTAGAAGGTCTCTTAGGTCTTTTTTTAGTGGGGAAATCATCGAATGACTGCTCCCGCCTGGGTGAGGCAGGAGGGAGTTTCAGACTCTTACTGACTAAAAACCACCCCGTTCCTACTCCTGCACTTCGAGCCGTAGCTCCGTTAAGTCCTTCGCGGCTCCAGGTTTTAGGATTAGCAGTGGACTTTGGTAGACGGATATGAAAAATGAAACAAACCATTGATATTACAATATTTATTAACAGAATCGACACGTAATGCATAAAGTATTTAATACCATAATTCAACACAATATGACAGGCCTTGAGTTAAATTTTTCTTTCTTGAGTGGACATTATGACATTACTGATTTCGACAAACTATTCTCAAGTTATGAAAACGTTCATCTTAGAGGCCACCACCTTAAGCTGTGTAAAAGCTTATCGAAAAATATCCTCACAGACACTTTCTGTTTAATCGCGTGGTCGGAGCATGGAACAAGCTGCCAGAACTGGACAATACTCAAATGTAGTCAGTAGCTAAATTCCAATAGTAGGTAATTTAATACATAATTTAACACTTTAATTCTAATGTAGACAATCTAGTTTCCTTATGGCGATATCGAGCATTTCTTTATTGAAACAAAGAGTTTCCTTTTCTTGTATAGAAGCACTAATTCTATGGATTGTCAGTATGCATATGTGAGCACCATGTTGGACTTCAAGATTTTTTTTTTAATTTTAATAAGTTATTAGTATAATGCGTCAAGCATGTCTTTGCATTGTTCTTACATATGCGTACAGTATTGAAATATGTATCAGAGACATTGTAGAACATACTTTTTTAAAAAGAGTAACGAATGGAGTTTCTTGCTCGTTCTTCTCCATTCGAATCTACTTTTTGGAATGAGCACCTAGCTTCACCTAGTTTCACAGACGGACTGACTGACAGACTATTATTTATTTTGTATTTGTTGACGTTTCAAAAGTACCAAACTATGGTTTAATTGAAATAAATGCTTTGACTTTTGACTTTTTTGACTTTTGCATATGTAATCGCTGCACAGAATGTTAACCAGTTCAAAAACAGACTTGACAGATACACAACATTGAATTAACTAGGAAAAATACGATGCAGGCATTTATCAGTTGTTTCAACTGCCTGTCTGAATTAAACAAATAATAAAAAATAAATTAATATGTAATTTCTGCTTTGAAGGTTTACTTTGACCTTTATTTGACCTATAGAAAAGAATGAATTTAAATAATAATTTATTTTATGAACAGACATGAGCTATCCATTTATCTATATAAATAAAAATGTATTTCCGTTCGTTAGTCTCGTAAAAACTCGAGAACGGCTGAACTGATTTGGATAATTTTGGACTTGAAATGTAAACCGAAGGTTTAACTAAAAGGCGCGAAGATAAATTGGGCGATACGAAGTTTGCTAGGTCAGCTAGTATTGTTATAAATTCGAAAGTTTGTGGACACTGCTTTAGGTGTGGGAGAGCCATGCTTCGGCACGAATGGGCCGGCTCGACCGGAGTAATACCACGGCCTCACAGAAAACCGACGTGAAGCAACGCTTGCGTTGTGTTTCGGCGTGTGAGTGAGGTTACCGAAGGCCCAATTACCCTCCCCTTTCCCAACCTCCCCAATCCCTGAATCCCCAAAGATCCTTAAACTCCTAATCCCCAAAAGGCCGGTAACGCACTTGCAACGCCTCTGGTGTTCCAGGTGTCCATGGGCGACGCCGATTGCTTACCATCAGACGATCCGTCTGCTCGTTTGCCATAAAAAAAAAAATATTTATTGAATAGTGTAATTGGTTTTTTGTACTGTTCTATTCATATTTAAATAAATAAACATTTATGAAGATTTTATACACAAATTAATCATCTTGGCTCTTCACAGCTTCATTTGAAACTTTTGAAACTTTTGAAACTTTTGTGGGGGTTATCAAATGGAGATCTAAGGGATGTGGAACATTTCTAAAATCGTAAAAATATTTATTAGTTTTGATAACTAATGGGAATGAGCATCTCGGGTCCCCTGCAACAAACAAAATATATTTATTAAATAACTATACAGTTTTTTTTTCGGGTTCGATTCCCGGATCGGGCAAAGTATTACTGGGTTTTTAAAAAAAACTCAGTAGTAGCACGGAGTCTGGAATTGTGCCCGGTATATGGCAATAGGCTCACCCCCTATTACATGGGACTCATAACATAAATAGTGAAAAGTGAGTGTTACATTGTACAGTGGCATGATGTGCACCTCTGCCTACCCCTTCGGGGATAAAAGGCGTGATGTTATGTTATGCTATACGGTTTTTTACCAGATAACTATATATATATTTCGGTGAGTTTGCGGGGGCATTGTACAACTTGATTCGGCGAAGCGTCATTGATTCATGGTGAGTGTTCCACCCACCAGCAAGATGCGCTTCGTACTGCTGAGGAGTGGATTTTTTCTTTTTTTTTCTAAATCCTTTGCCCCACTTTAGGATTTTCTCCTGTGTCATGGGTGCGTTAGCAAACATTTTTTTTTGTTTTTTAAGGGACAAGCCCGCCACTACCTCCCAAAACCGCTGCAACTCCTGTTAGCCAGGATCTACAGTAGATACAACCATGAAAACACCGGAACATTGAAGTTATTGTTAGCAAACATACAAGTTCACATGTATACACATCACACCCAGATTAGAAACAACACTTGGTGGATTACGCAGAGTTGCTCCATGCGGGAATTGAACCCACGACGCGTTGCGCGGCAGCTGGTTGGCAAGCCACCACACCAACCGTGCCGTCTATTATTTAATTTTGTCTGTACCAAATAAGTTTGCCTGGGTGTCTTCAAGGCCCGAGTGAATAGGTTGCTTATGGGACGACGTGCTCCATCGTAGACCGCATCATCGCGCACCACCAGGCGAGGTAGTGGTCATCAGTCCATCAAATATAAAAAGACAATTAAACATCACGCCTTTTATCCTCGAAGGGGTAGGCAGAGGTGCACATTATGCCGCTGTACAATGTAACACCCACTTTTCACTATTTATGTTATGAGTCCCATGTAATAAGGGGTGAGCCTATTGCCATATACCAGGCACAATTCCAGACTCCGTGCTACTACTGCTTTAAAAACCCAGTAATACTTTGCCCGACCCGGGAATCGAACCCGAGACCCCTTGCCAGGCAGTCGCACTTGCGACCACTCGGCCAACGAGGCAGTTAAATATAAAAAGAAATAAGTAATAATAGTCTTTGGTGTTAATTAATTAAAGCATAAATAATGCTTTGATACGAGTAACCCAGTAGCGTAGTACATCGACACTTAATTAGGAGTTTAATTACTAGTTCGAACTAATTGATTTCTATATCTATAGCGTGTGGTCTTAAATTGCTAAAAGTGTTGGAGAGCCATGCTTCGCCACGAATGGGCCGATTCGACCGGAGTGATACCACGGCCGAGCAGAAAACCGACGTGAAGCAACGCTTGCGTTGTGTTTCGTCGTGTGAGTGAGGTTACCGGAGGCCCAATTACCATCCCCTTCCCCAATCTCCCCAATCCCTGAATCCTCAACGATCCTCAAACTCCTAATCCCCAAAAAGCCGGTAACGCACTTGTAACGCCTTTGGTGTTCCGTGTGTCCATGGGCGACGCAGATTGCTTACCATCAGGTGATCCGTCTGCACGTTTACCGGCTTATGCCAAAAAAAAATATTTTTAAGTGTATAATCGTCATTCAACATCCAAGGATGTTGGAAACAGTGTGGATGTAATGTCATTTAGAAATGATTAAAGCACCAAAATGTTTGTGGTCTATTTAGGGGCCATCCATAAATTACGTCACAACTTAAGGGGGAGGGAGGGGCCGACGAAGTGTGGCATTGTGTGACAAGGGGGAGGGAGGGATCCAAAACTTTATGATGTCACATTTGAAAAACTATTACAATCTGTGTTAAAATACGAAATATAATTTGTTTTAATTAATGTTTTTTATTTTGTTAATTGATTTGACATGAATATTTTTTTAAAGTAATTTAAGTGGAAATAAAAATAACAATTGTTTCTATACTGTGATTCTGCAAAATGTGTCGTCACACTAGGGGGGCGGGGGGTCTCACAATGGGGATGATGACAGGGTATGAAAATTAAAAATATAATTAGTCCGTAAGTTAGGTAATGAAAAAATATTAGACACGTATTTTTTTATTTTGTCGTATAATAAAACAATACTTAGATAAAACGAATCAAAGTTTAGGAGTGGGGGCTAAAACGTCATTTCTTAGTATAAAATGTACTGAGAAGTGACGTCACGCGACATTTCAAATCAATATATCTTCGAAACTACTCGTTTCTGTGAGAAAATAAAAAATACGTGTCTAATGTTTTTAAATAATCTACCAGACGGACATTAAAATAAAAATTAGTCGTCTACCCTATTGTGACTAGCTGTGACAGGGATGGGGGGAGGGGCAAAAAATCATGAAATTCGTGTGACGTAATTTATGGATGACCCCTTATCATAAGGGTACCGGGGCCCGTGCCCAGGGGTCCCCCAGGGGCCCCCAAGGACCAACAATTTCTAAGACGGACACACACCCGCTACACGTGGCGCGTCAACCCGTACGGACAACGTGTAGCGGATTCAATCCCACACGGAGCAAATCTTTGTGTGATACATTTAGTTGGTAGCGGCGACTGGTGGCGCTATAGCTCTAAGATATCAACTTTACTGTAGTGACAGGCGTGGCAGTCACTTTAATTGTAACAATACACAATTTTACCTAGACTTCTGATTTTAACCTGTGACCTCGAAAATCATTTAAAAAGTTACCTGGTTGCCCATCTGGATCCGTCCTCTCATGATCTCTGCAGATAATGTATCTCAGGATAATGTCGTCGTCATCTGCTTCGACAACTCTGCCTTGAGGTTCCATTCCGTCTTCAGATAAGTAAGGAGCTGACAGTATACAAGGAGAGCGCGATACCAGTTGTAAAACTAAAACAAAGAAATCAATTAACCAAAAAATCGCGGGTTACTCACGTGAATATACTGAGAAAAGCTCTACAAGTTGCTGAGCCTCGGTCCTGTATAGAGTACTGCTCTCATCTTTGGGACGGCTCGGCCAAATATCAGCTGGACGCGTTAGAGTACATTGAAAGGCGTGCCAAGAGGCTCATCAACGATGATGCGCTTGTGGAGGCCCGGCTGCAAAGCCTCGAACACGGGCGTAAGGTTGCAAGCCTTTCGGTTTTCTACCGGATACATTTCGGTGAGTGTGCGGGGGAATTGTACAACTTGATTCCCCCTAGTCCTTTCCATCGTCGTACTACAAGACAATCGGCGAAGCGTCACCGATTCATGGTACAAGTCCCACCCACCCACACGCACGAAGCGCTTCGCTTGATGCTTCCTTGTGCGTACTGCTAAAGAGTGGAATTCTTTGCCAGAGTCTGTATTTCTTGAAGGGTATTCCACATAAAGAGTGAATAGGTTGCTTATGGGACGACGTGCTCCATCGTAGACCGCGTCATCGCTTACTACCAGGCGAGATAGTGGGCAAACGTTGCCCCATTAAATATACAAAAAAAAACAAGTTTCTTGCTCATAAGGAGCGTGCGCGGTCGCGGCGACAATAACAAATTTTTGTCAGTAGAAGGTTATTATGACAGAAAAAATCCTGAAAATCCTACGAACTGACCGGGAGAAATCGGGATTGCGCGTACGAAGACGTGAGCATAGCTAATCTTTATACATATAATTCTTCTATGAGTGTGTATGTCACTGAACTTCTCTCAAACGATTGGACCGATTTTGATGAAAGTTTTTATGTGTGTTCAAGGGGATCTGGGAATGGTTTAGATTCACAAATCAGCCCGGCAGATGGCGCTGCAGTCGAAGTTTAGGTTATTTATCCTAAACAGCTGAACTGATTTGAATGAATTTTTGTTTATACATTCAAGTGGATATGCAGGACAACGTCTGTTGGATCCGCTAGTTTTTTTATAAAATGACAGAGATCGGCCGACATTTAAGTACTTAAGTACAATTAAAAATTGAGTAGATTTCCTATATTCGGGCGTTAGACTTACTTTCATTCAGGGCTGATGCCGATACGTAGCCGCGGAAGACTTAACGGGTTGCCGGGGCTCCGGCTCAAAGTGCAGGAGTAGGAACGGGGTTGTTTTTAGTCAGTAAGAGTCTGACACTACCTCTCGCCTCACCCGGGCGGGAGATCATTGGATGATATTCCCCCCTCAAAAAAAAAGACGTACTTTCATCCTTATGATGACAAGCGAACATGCGCATATGACAGACGCTTATGAATGTCTTGAAAATGCCGTGTTGACATCGCGCACAAACCAAAACATCTCGAGAAGGACAGACTGTAGGACAATCAGCGTTGTATTCGTTTAGATCAGCGTCTTGTAGCATGTCTGTGAAAAAACAAATAACTAGTTTAAAGTACATACGTAACTCACGTGAAATTACTGAGAAAGACTTAGCTAGTTACGGATTTTTTCTTTTTTATGGGATAAGCCGGTAAACGAGCAGACAGATCACCTGATGGTAAGCAATGACTGCACGGTTGGTGCGGTGGCTGGGCAACCGGCTGCCGTGCAACGTGTCGCGGGTTCGATTCCCGCACGGAACAACACTTTGTGTGATCCACAAATTGTTGTTTCGGGTCTGGGTGTCATTGTGTATGTGAACTTGTATGTTTGTAAACGCACCCACGACACAAGAGATAATCCTAGTGTGGGGCAACGTTAAAAAACTAAATAAAAAATAAAAAAAATCGGCGTCGCTCATGGACACACGGAACACCAAACGCGTTATGAGTGCGTCACCGGCCTTTTAACGTTTGAGGATTGTTGGGGCTTCAGGGATTGGGGAGATAGGGGAAGAAGTGATATGATAATTGAGCCTCTGGTGACCTTACTCACACGACGAAAAATAACGCAAGCGTTGTTTCACTATGCTTTTCTGTAAGGCTTTGAGCTTAGGAGTGATACCACAGAAAACCGACGTGAAGCAACGCTTGCGTTGTGTTTCGTCGTGCGAGTGAGGTTACCAGAGGCAAAATTACTCTCCCCTTCCCCAATATCCCCAATCCCTGAATCCTGAACGATCCTCAAACTCCTAATCCCCAAAAGGCCGGTAAAGCACTTTTAACGCCTCTGGTGTTCCAGGTATCCATGGGCGACGCCGATTGCTTACCATCAGGTGATCCGTCTGCTCGTTTAAAAGACGATTCCACGCGTAAATTCCCATTTGCAGGAAGAATACATTTAAACTTAATGTTGTGTGTTTCACGATAATGGCATTCATGTGTTGAAAGTCAATGCACACATTGTTTCATACCAGTTTTCTGTAAGGCCGTGCCATCGTCGGTCGAGCCACACGTCAAGTTACATAATTAAAATAGTTGTCACTATAAATAGGTACCTCCTAAATTAGATTCATGAGATAACATCGGGAAATCGGGAAGTTCCAAATTTTTAGTTTTCCGTTTTTGATCAGGCAACCGACTGAAATCAAGTTGAATGTGTTCGATATTGTTCACATCTGAAAGCAAATTTAAAATCATGCGATATCTGTGTTACAATATGTAAGTGTTACATGTAACCATCCAGTTTCTATAACCTATCTATCTGTAAATTTACTTACTATAATAGATATAGAATTTTGACATGAGCTCCATACAAAATGTGTCAAAATTCTATCTCTAGTAAGCAAATCTACAGATAGATAGGTTATAGACACTGGACGTAAGTCTGTATCAACATCACTAATTAGTGAGTAGTGGCCCCTCACTATAATCCTTACTATCTATATATATATAATTCAAAGGTGATTGACTGACTGACTGACTGACTGACATAGTGATCTATCAACGCACAGCCCAAACCGCTGGATAGATTGGGCTAAAATTTGGAATACAGATAGATGTTATGACGTAGGCATCCGCTAAGAAAGGATTTTGATAATTTCCACCCCCAAGGGGGTAAAAAAGGGGATGAAAGTTTGTATGAAACTTTGTCAGTTTTAAACCGATCGGGTTTAAATTTGGCATGCAGATAGATGTTATGACGTAAGCATCCGTTGTGAAAGGATTTTGATAATTTCCACCCCCAAGGGGGTAAAATAGGGGATGAAAGTTTGTATGAGACTTTGTCAGTTTTAAACCGATCGGGTTGAAATTTGGCATCCAGATAGATGTTATGACGTAGGCATCCGCTGTGAAAGGATTTTGATAATTTCCACCCCTAAGGGGGTAAAATAGGGGATGAAAGTTTGTATGGGACTTTGTCAGTTTTAAACCGATCGGGTTGAAATTTGGCATGCAGATAGATGTTATGACGTAGTAATCCGCTGTGAAAGGATTTTGATAATTTCCACCCCCAAGGGGGTAAAATAGGGGATGAAAGTTTGTATGAGACTGTCAGTTTTAAATCGATCGGATTGAAATTTGACATGCAGATAGATGTTATCATATAAGCATCCGCTAAGAAAGGATTTTGATCATTTCCACCCCTAAGGGGGTAAAATAGGGGGTGAAAGTTTATATGAAGCTTTGTCAGTTTTACACCGATGCAGATGAAATTCGGCATGCAGGTAGATGTTATGACGTAGGCATCCCCAAGTAAGGATTTTGATTATTTCCACCTCCAATGGGGTAATGTAGGGGATGAACGTTTGTATGAAGCTTTGTCAGTTTTACACCGATCGGGTTGAAATTCGGCGTGCAGATGGATATTATGACGTAAACGTCCCTTTAGGAAGGTTTTTGAACATTCTCACCCCAAAGTATGATACTTTGCCAGTTTTAAATTGATCGGGCTGTTACTTTGCATGCATAAATTTACTATGACATAGGTATCTCCTTAGAAAGGATTTTGATAAATTCCACCCCTAAGGGGATAAAATAGGGAATGAAAGTTTGTATAAATCTTCTTAGCCATTGAATATAGAATCATTGAATCTTTTTGAATTACATTCGGTAAAACGATGATTTGGGACCTGGGTAACGTTTGATAGTTTTTATCACAGATGTCCCACGGGAACGGAAACTATGCGTCAATGCCCCGGGACTGTCTAACTCTTAACCACTGAACTTATTTTAGAGAGATTCGGTACAACAATAGTCGATAGAATAGTTTTTATTACTCAAACCTTACGTGATCGGGCACTGTACTGGTAAGATCCCTGCGGGATTATTTATTTTATTGAAACTACTGTAAATCATTTCAAAATAGGTAAATCTTACTTGGGCACTGAATTGATTCTGTCAGAAGTCATTAATCTACGCGGACGAAGTCGCGGGCAACAGCTAGATATACATAAGTACCTGGAGTAGTAACCCAGTCATCTGAGTCTATTTCATGGCCTGCATTTCCTAAAAGAAATAATTCTTGTTAAAATATAGAGAGCCTTGCCGTATGGTGGTAAAGTAGAGAACGATTCTCATGACCTCTCTACTCTACTAATACTGTACTACTACGAGTCGAGTAAGGGACCTTAATACATATATTTAAAGAAGAGAACTAGAAGTAGAGGTGTTTGTTGAATTAGATCATCACATCAACAGCCTATAAATGCCCACTGAACAAAGCCTCTTCTCACACGGAGAAAATTTGAGCATTAAACACCACGCTTGCTCAATGCTGGTTGGCGATTTCAAACTATATACTTACAAATTATTAGAAATTATAAGCCCAGGTTTCCTCACGGTGTTTTCCTTCACCGTTTACTAGTGGTATCTAGATAATCTTAAAAAGTACATATAAGTCGGAAATAGTCATATTGGTAATTGCCGTCGGTAGGTTTCGAACTAGCACCGTCATGCTTAAACTGTCAAACACCAAGCGGTCACCGGTGACCGCAACCTTTTGTTCTTTAATTGTGTCTATAATGACGGTACTCAAAGAGTTTGAATGCCTGTATATGAGACACAATAGAAAATATTTTCATTCATTGTGTCTCACGTGGATCCAAATTTAGACACACGACGGGTTAAATCTCCGGGCCACCACGACGTTGATCACGCATAGCCGAAATTGATAACCGATAGCGCTCCTAAGTGATAATTGCCGGAATACTGAAACTTTACTCAATTTTAAGTCGTGCTCAAATATCGTGCCATCTCTGTCATTTTACAAAGAATTTGTAGAGATAGAACTATACTTAAGCACGACTTAAAATTGAGTAGCGTTTCAGTATTCCGACAAATAACAAATAAAAAAAGTTAAAACCGTCATTTATGTCTCTTCTTTCTCGATCATCTTCCATGTCAGCTGATGAATACGCGGAGCCCAAAGTTTTAAATGTGTTTTCATGTTTTTATCCGTATTCTTATCAATGTTTATAAGTTTTTTTTTCTTCCCGCTCATCGACTTTTTTGACATCATTTCCGTTTTAGTTGAGGCCTTCTTGTGTTTCATTTTCACCTTTTCCATGGCTGTAATAATATTAATGAACGATGTATAATTTCAGTAAGTAATTGTTGGCGTTTAAAATTGGTTTTTATTTATTTATTCATACAAATAATTGCAATATACAGTGTAGAAACAGAACACGTTAACTTATTAAACATAACAATTAACTATTTTACACAAATGACTAACTATTATAGTCTCGTACGAAATGTCATTGCTTGCACGCACGATTGGTGCATGATTGGGCGACGGACTACTGGACATAATGATGACATTATACAACAACCCAAGACGATTGGCAACGCATGGCACTATTATTTACGCCATCTTTAAGTATACACAAATTGTTAGAGTGGTTGTGAACCAAAGGATAAGGGTGAAATATCTATTAAAAAAAATATTTAACGACCGAAATATATCGTTATCAATGTCGAGGCTACCGGCTGTGAATCACGCAAACAGCAGTGGGGAATAAGCCTAATGTAGAGGTGTTTAAAATGAATTGTAACGAGCTTTTGATGTTGACTAAAAGTAAATTACATAAAAATAACACTTGCCTTTTAAGGTAGCTGAAACAAACAATTTTCACTTCGTCTTACTGAAAACTTATAATACCTTAACCTAAATTATGCTCGCAAAATCCTAAAAATTGATTAATTTAACGTAAATAAAGACCTATGTAACATACTCGTACACTGTTTTAACCATGACTTATATCAAAATAAAATAATTGACAAAAAGTATCTACCTATAGGTGCCGTACTAAAATACCTAGGTACTAAATTAGTCCGTCAGTTAGGTAATGAAAAACTATTCGACACGTATTTTTTTATAGATGTACATAAAGATAAAACAAATCAAAGTTTAGGAGTAGGAGGTAGCTACGTCATTTTAGAGTAGGTATAAATCGTACTCAAAAGTGACGTCATGCGATATTTCAAATCAATAAATCATCGAAAGTATTCGTTTCTGTAAGAAAATAAAAAATACGTGTGTAATGATTTTAAATAATTTATCAGACAGACTTTAAAATAAGAATTAGTCATCTACTCTATTGTTTCAGCTACTTTATTCTAGCAATATCGACCATTATTTTGCGTCTCTGAGCACCTATAAAAAGCAATCATCATCAACAGCCTGTAAGTGCCCACTGCTGAGCAAAGCCTTTTCTCACACGGAGAAGGTTTGAGCATCAATCACCACGCTTGCTCAATGCGGGTTGGCGATTACAAACTTATAATTAGAAATTATAAGTCCAGGTTTCCTCACGATGTTTTCCTTCACCGTTTGTCAGTGGTATCTAGATAATCTTAGAAAGTACATATAACTCGGAAAAAGTCACATTGGTACTTGTCAATGGTAGGTTTCGAACCCGTACCCTCATACACAAGAAGACTTAAACCTCCGGGCCACCACGATTATGAAAATACGACTATAAAAAGCAATAAATATATGAAAATGATGAATCTTCGAACTGGTTAAACGTCTTCATCTTGGACCCTACAACTTTTACCCCATATTAACTTTTGCTCCAAATGGCTAGTCCTAACGATACGTAACATTTTTTCTTTGACCATCAGAAAAGGGCAAAAAATGGAGCCGTAATGATCTGTTTTTTTTAATAAACAGGGAATTTTTAAAACCACCGCGTTAGACAGATGGAATTAGCGTAATAGTTAAATCTTATGTTACTCGACACTGGCAGTATAGTCGACAACACCGTTTTTGGAGACTCGGTTGCCAAAGAAGAAAAAAAAATTAAAAAAAAAATCTTATGTTGTTATGAACTTTGTACGGTTAGGTACACCTTGCTTAGGTTCGCTAGTAAATGTGTTTGCTTCTGTAGTAAAGTTAAGTTGGTTGAGTTGATGAGTGCGAAGAGAAAGAACCACTTATGTTACGTTTATTAGTTAAGTTAGGTATACAAGTTGAAGGTTGGCCATTCCTATCTCTATCGTTGCTTTATTAGCACACACACTTAATTTACTTAATCGATGACTACCTATTTATACTTAAAATTACGAACGCGCCGCGATATAGTTGTCGTATCAGCATTATCCATATACAACGTATATAGTTTAAGACTATACAAACCAATTAAAATAAGTATTAGAAAAATAACATAACATAACATCACGCCTTTTATCCCCGAAGGGGTAGGCAGAGGTGCACATAGAAGTAACACCCACTTTTCACTATTTATGTTATGAGTCCCATGTAATAGGGGGTGAGCCTATTGCCATATAAGTAGCGGGCACATTTCCAGACTCCGTGCTACTACTGAGATTTTTAACCTTTTGAGCGCCAGGGTCACAAATACGTGACAAGCGAAAACTGTCCCTGAGCGCCAACGACACAAATATGTGACAAAAACAGCGGTACATTAAAACACGAAATAAACTATTTAAACATTACTTTAATGCCTATTTATTTATATACCTGTAAAATAGAAGGTCCAAAATTTATTTATTTCCATAAAACTAATTAAATTGCATTATAAATATTGAGAAATTTTACGTTAAAAAGAAAGAAATAAACTCTGAAAAAAGAATGTCCTCACACGCCAGAGTCATAACTGCGTGACCGCTAGTGATGTAGCGCATGTTGGATAATATCATTATTTCAAATCAAAGATCGATTCGAAACTTTCCTCTGGAATATATTATTTTAGGTATAATTTGGTACTAGGATAAAGCAGCATTAATTTTATAAAACCAGTCTTAAAAATCATTCAATAAGCTACATAGCCAAAAATAAAATTTGGTAGGGTCGAATTTCGATATTCACTAATCCCAACTCAAGCGCATCCCTAACGCAACCCGAATTATCAGTACCCTGTACGCCATGGTCACAACTAGACGACAATATCGTGACGTCACAAGCGCGGCGACCAGAAATTAGTGAAGTGAATGAATAATATTTATGATTAATTTACTTGTGATATCGAGTTCAAGATTTATATTAAGTGACTATTATAATGAGTGGGAATTTAATGACTACGGAAGAACTTCTTCGCATATTAGAAGGAGTCTCAGATGACGAAGAATTTTCGGAAACAGAATCTTTGGACGAATTTGATTTAGAGACGTAAGTTATTTTTATCTGCTTTTATTTTAAAAACTTTGAGCAAATATTAAATTAAATATTAATATTAATCTTTAATTTTTAATTAAATATTAATCTTTTTTAGCCACGGTGCGCGCTGAGATCGATTTCACTGTCCCCACCACCCACTTTGCACCCAGCGAATTAGATGATCAGAATGCAGGTTGCATTGTAGATTTTGTATAATTTTGTTCTATCATTCAAAAGATTTATTAGTATAAGACTGATTGGTAATTGTGATAATTATATATAATCGTTAATTGTTTTAATTTGTTACTTTTTATGCCAGGTTTATAGAACTTAATATTTAAAAACATGTATACATAGTACATACTGTATAACATTTTATTAAAATTTTCTATTTTTTCATAGTTTTTATTTACCTTCTTAACCTATTTCAATCATATATTTTTAAGTACCTGTTACATTCGGAATTATAAATCTGATTTAAAAAACGTGTTTCATTTATTATAAAATAATATTGTACTAGAACATCGATAAACGAGATATTACGTTGCCACATCCTTATTTCGGAAGCGAAGTAGTTATTAAAATGGCGGGCCGTCCACGCCATGGTCACAATATGAAGACAGCAGATCAAGAATAGTGTTGTACCTACAGTTATTATATTTAAATATATTGTAGTCTCATATCTGTTATTACGGTATTACCTATACAAGTCTGTAAATAGTGTATAACTATTACTTTAATAGGAAGAAATGTAATGTTGAATTAAATTTCAATGTTATAAGGACATTATATTTCGAAATTAAAGACGAAAATGAAAATAAAATTGATTATCGATGAAGTTTTGGAATCCCTATTTTTTTCGTAGGTATTTGCGGTGAATTTGTGGCCTGGCGTTGAGGGCAAGTTCATGCGTTTTTGCTCTGGCGTTCAAAAGGTTAAAAAACCCAGTAATACTTTGCCCGACCCGGGAATCGAAACCGAGACCCCTTGCCCGGCAGTCGCTTTTGCGACAACTCGGCCAACGAGGCAGAGTATTAGAAAAATAATGATATTAAAAAGGAAATCAATTTTATTGTTTTTTTATTTCACGACTAGGTATATGAAAAGTTCCTGTGGCACTTTATCCCATAATTCTGATTGCCATGGGTCTTTTACGGGATGTGGATGATATCCATGCCCAAACGGTGATTTCTCGTTCAAATCAGTTTCTGTGGAAAAAACCAAATATACCCGAGATGTCAAACAAAGTTTCCCGCCTAAATTAAAAAGAATATGGCGGATTTCGTATCTTGACAGATAAATAAGCAATGTTGCAAAGTAAAAAAAAAAAGTTGAAAACGGCCCTCGATTTGATTTGAGTTTTAGTCAGGGAATCATGTATGAAATCCTGTGTAATAAATACTTTTCTTACCTTTTTCATCTGTAACATCAAAACATTAATTAGATCCCTGACATTCACACTGATTCTATACCGTTGCATATAGAGTTGCATATAACTCTTAAATGTTATAAATGTATATTAGCATTTAAGAGTTATATGCAACTGCAAATGCAATATGTTATAAATGTATATTAGAAAAAATTGACTAGATGTATTATAATTAAAAAACTGTATGACAAGGGCACGGACCTAGAGTCCGTGGAGAAATAATCTTTAATATTAAAAAAAAAAAATGTATATTAGCATACTGCTTTGAATATTTCAATACGATAGTTGACAACTAGGTAGTCAAATACAATACTTTTATAGAAACGTCAAAAACGATACTGTTCTATGAATTTTGTACGAAATACCATCTTATGACGACATCATATTTTCGCGTCAAATAGCACACTTATATGTAGAAAAAATGCTAGAATAAATCGAAAATTAATTATATCGCCATTACAATGAATGAAAGTGTAACTATTTTCCAATATTTAATTGGACTGAAAAATCAAAATAATTTATTTTTACCCAGGAAACTACCAAATTGTACGTCTCAATCCCCACAACCTACACAATGGGTGCTATCGTATTTTTGGGCAGCAGATGGCGCAAGTGCAGCAAGAGGTTTTTGTACTATCACTCAGACAAGTAAAAGAAAGCTTACTACCTTTATCATTGGCTTTCCTTTTCACACGTAAATGTGATTTATCTGTAACAAAACATGAATATTTAATTTATTATGATCATCGTATACAGTGTAGTAACTGCAAAGTTGGGGAGATTAGGGATTTTTTTATTCTTAAGGGGGGGGGAAATCATCGAATGACTGCTCCCGCCTGGGTGAGGCGGGGGGGGGGGAGTGTCAGACTCTGACTGACTAAAAACCACCCCGTTCCTTCTCCTGCACGTCGAGCTGGAGCCCCGGTTACCCGTTAGGTTCTCCGCGACGGAGATTGCGGATAGGAGGAAGATTGGGTCTCTGGTAACCTCATTCGCACGATGAAACACAATGATAGCGTTGTTTAATGCCAGTTTTCTTTGAGACCGCGGTATCACTCTGATTGAGATGAAGCATTGTACTAAGGGTCGATTTTTCCAATGCCAGATAATTTTTACAATTTGAATATTTGACAATTATTTCATACTGAAAACTGTCAAATGTCAATTTCATTCTATGATTCTACAGAATTTAGTTACTGATGATTAAAAATCGGTCCCTAATAAGTTAGTTAGAACCAAATTAAAAAATGATTCTACATTAGTACCTTGTAGGCGTTCGTACCTTTCAAAATTTTCTTGCTATTCTGCCCGTGTCTGTGGCTGCAAAACTTCATAGGGACGATTTTAGCTTCCACATCTGGAAAGAAAATATTGTATACCATCGATATTTTTTTTCGGTGCACTCCATCTTAGGTCCCTTTTCACCAACGAAACTGATCACGATTACACCTAACAAAACTGATTTAAAGCGTCTAATCGAATTTAAAGCGTTTAAACGAAGTTACAGCTTCATTTTACATTTCACCGCTACAAACAGAAACTAGTTTACACGGAACTCAGTACAGAAAACGCAGAACACAGAACTTAGGTTACTTTAAACTTAGGTTACGTGTAACTGAGTTTTTACAGAGCTTGGTGAAAAGGGACCTAAGTACCGTTCGTTATTCGACATGAATATTTTATGCAACTATTGTCTTCTGTGTCGGCAATGCGTTTTACGCACGACGCGCGAACCCTGAATTATGTGATCAGGATCACACAAGAAATCACCTAATTAAACTAACAATGATTGTTTTGTAGCTACATCAACAGCCTATAAATGCCCACTGCTGAGCAAAGCCTCTTCTCACACGGAGAAGGTTAGAGCATTAATCACCACGCTTTCTCAATGCGGGTTGGCGATTTACAAACTTCTAATTAGAAATTATAAGCCCAGGTTTCCTCACGATGTTTTCCTTCACCGTTTGTCAGCGGTGTCTAGATAATCTCAGACAGTACATGTAACTCGGAAAAGTCACATTGGTACTTGCCGTTGGTAGGTTTCTAACTCGCACTTTCATGCATGAGAAGCAGGCGTCTTAAACCTTCGGGCTACCATGACGTTTTTGTAGCTAACGATGTAACTTTTCACAATTAGGGTAGTATCCCAAATTTTATTTTAATGTGCGCTTGATAGATTATTTTAAAACATTAGAAATGCATTCATGTATTACTTACAAAATTAAATACTTTCGACGCGACGATATATATATTAATTTGAAATATCGTGTGACGTCACGATTTACTACATTTTTTAGGGTAGCGTCACGTAACGACCTTCCACTCCTAAACTTAACTCCGTTTTGTCTAAGTATTGTTTTCATATACGAGAAAATAAAAAAATACGTGTCTAACATTTTTTCATTATCTAACTGACGGACTAATTACATTTTTAATTTTCACACAATGTCTACTACCCTATTGGTTGACCGGTCCCGCTTCATATGTCAAATCTAACTCTCAAGGTGAGCTCGAGCGCATTCTCGTCTATCATTGGTCGGGATTATTCTCAACCAATGACATGACAGACCACGATCGAGTTCACTGCGATCTTCGGAATTCAAACTTACAGATAGAATAGCTTAGCGGGTTCAGGAGATGAGTACCTATATGAAATTGGGATGATGACAGGGTATGAAAATTAAAAATCTAATTAGTCCGTAAGTTAGGTAATGAAAAAATATTAGACACATATTTTTTTATATTGTCGTATAATAAAACAATGCTTAGATAAAACGAATCAAAGTTTAGGAGTGGGGGCTAAAACGAAACGTCATTTCTACGTATAAAATATACATAGAAGTGACGTCACGCGACATTTCAAATCAATATATCGTCGAAAGTATTCGTTTCCATAAGAAAATAAAAAATACGTGTGTAATGATTTAAAATAATCTACAAGACGGACATTAAAATCAAAATTAGGCATCTACCCTATTGTATTGTGCAAACGAATCGACACAGAGGAAAATCCCAGTGTACCTACGTTTTTATAATAACTATCGTGAGACATACTAAATTAACTAAAACTCGCGGGTTACTCACGTGAATATACTGAGAAAAGCTCTACTAGTTTCGAACCACAGAATGGTTCTTCCTCATGAGCAGCGTGCGCGGTCGCGGCGACGTCGCGCAGCTCACTGGAACTAGTAGAGCTTTTCTCAGTATATTCACGTGAGTACCCCGCGTTTTTAATTAATCCCAGTATACGTTTATAAAAAAAAATGTTCTTACTGTCATGGCATTGCATGTAATAGAGTTCGCATTTGTTCACAACTATAATATGAACGTCGAAACCGAGATCGTTGCGTTTCATCCTGACACATTCCGGCTCGTCCACACTCGCGCATTTTATTTTCCTGCACTTGTCATCTATTTTGGGAACGATCAACTTTCGACGGAGCTTCGAGAGCGCCTTTTCTGCTGCTATCGTGTGTATAACTGTGAACATTCATCAACATCATTGAATTAAATATATTTTAAGTGTCGGCGAGCCATGCTTCGGCACGAATGGGCCGGCTCGACCGGAGTGATACCACGGTTCACAGAAAACCGACGTGAAGCAACGCTTGCGTTGCGTTTCGTCGTGTGAGTGAGGTTACCGGAGGCCCAATTACCCTCCCCTTCCCCAATCTCCCCAATCCCTGAATCCCCAACGATCTTCAAACTCCTAATCCCCTAAAGGCCAGTAACGCACTTGTAACGCCTCTGGTGATCCAGGTGTCCATGGGTGACGCCGATTGCTTACCATCAGGTGATCCGCCTGCTAGTTTTCCGGCTTATGCCATAAAAAAACATTGAATCTTTGATGAGGTCAGGGTGGGTTGAGATGCAAATAGACTTGTGGAAGTACAGTACATGAGCCTCATACAATCGGTAGTCAGTTTATTACACAATTTCAGACATTTTAAGAATTCAGGACTTTACGAGTGTTTATATCAAATAAATGAATACGAGCCTATAGCATGGCTTGAAACTAGTCGAATTCCTCGTCAAACATACTTGATAACATCAAAAATACGTGAGCAAGCCGAAAACATAATAATTAATTTACGAGCGTTGTTGTTGCCGGGAACAGAACATCGCTTGTAGCGTTGCTTGTTGCGTTAGTAGCACTTACGACCACTCGAGGTAGTTAGTCCAGAATTTAGTTTAAAATCAATTTAAATTTGTGGTAGCATAAATAAAATTATTTTCACATAGAAATTAAGTTTAAACATCAACTTTTTAAACCGGTGAAAGGCTACACAGAAGTAGATAAAATAAAAGATACCACCGGTGAGCGCTCCCCACTTACTTCTATAAAATATACCTTATTTCTGATGTTTTTTTTTAAGGAGGGGTAATCATCGAATGCCTGCTCCCGCCTGGGTGAGGCGGAAGGGAGTGTCAGACTCTTACTGACTAAAAACCACCCCGTTCCTTCTCCTGCACTTCGAGCCGGAGCCCCGGTAACCTGTTAGGTTCTCCGCGACATTTCCGATGTTCAGAGACTACTTTTGTATGAACAAGTTTTGAGGACTTTCGGTATAATATTATATTAAGTGATTAATATTTTTAAATTATTACAAAATAATCTATCTTACCCATAAAAATAAAGAAGACGTACACTTTCATTATAATTATTTTAAGTAAAATTAAACTGTAGGATTGGTAAGCGCAGTTAAATTTTTATTGATATTTTACGATTCGTTGTAATGATTAAAATCAATGATGGATGAAATGAAATCAGGAAATAGAAATTACTAAATAGTACCTAATCATTTAACGAAGTTACATAAGTCGTTAGGTGGTTGACTGTTGACTCAACGATTGACAGTTTCTTTAAAGGTAAAAGCCGGCAAACTAGTAGTCGCATCCCATCACCTGATGGTAAACAATCGGCACCGCCCATGGACATTAGGAATTTGAGGATTGTTGGAGATTCGGGGATTGAGGTGATCTGGGAGGGGGCTTTGGTAATTAGGCCTTCGGTAACCTCACTCACACAACGAAACACATCGCAAGCGTAGTTTTACTATGGTTTTCTGCTCGGCCGTGGTATCACTCCGGTCGAGTCGGCCCATTCGTGCTGAAGCATGGCTCTCCCATACCTGAACTTGGTGACTAAACGATTGGCTCCTGTGCAAGATGTCAGTTCGATCCTATACGCAACGCATCAAAAATGGGGTAGTTGACAGGGTATGAAAATTAATAGTTGTAGCAACACAGAATACATCGCGACCAACGAGGGCGTCGCGCGGTCGTAAGCCACTAAGATGATTATATTGTGTAAGATATTATTCATATTCATATCTTTATTTGCATTTCATGTTCTTAAGATGTTAGTTACATTGGGTTAAAGCTATGACACAATTATGGACTCTGTCGGACACAGCAAAATACAAAGTTTAAATTTCAGAATTAAATTCAATTAATAACACATTAACATTTTCAATAATTGTTAAAATAAATAGGTCTAAGTAATAAGTAACATTAAATAAAATGAAGTCAAGCTGATGATGCATAATGTCAAAAAAATTCAAACAAATAAAAACAATAAAATCTAAAATCATCACGTCACATGCAGCATCTAGTAAACAATTATTAAAATAAGTAAGTCAAACATTTAATTGTGTATAATTAAATCATGTCACATGTAATATCAAGTCATACCAATATTTAAGGTCGATAAAAAGTTTTCGAAAATTAGAATAAAATCATTAATTTCTTTCTACCCGCCCCTCTATTGGAAGACAGGCATGTCGGACATATCTTAGCAGCTCCTTCTCTCGCAACCCCGGAGACCGCGGCCCTCGCGTCGCCAGTCTGCAGCTTACGCGACTACTAGGCATACATGTGTAATATTAAGTTCTACCCGCTGTACTATACACATAATTGTAACCATACGTCTAATCAGTAATTCCAGTGAGTGTTGTTTCTTGAAATTTATTATCTGAACTCTACTTTACTAATTTCCAATCCTGAGAACCTCCTCTCATAAATTCTATTTAGTTAATTTATTAAATAGTAAAAATTATTAGACATGTATTTTTTTATTTTATCGCATAAGATGCATGAAACAATACTTATATTAAACACTAGCTTTTACCCACGGCTTCGCTCGCGTCACAAAAGAATAAAAAGTAGCCTATGTGACATATACCAATACACACAGCGCCATCTATACCAATACCTTTGGTTTTTCCTCGGGAATATCATTTTTTTCCGGGTTAAAAAGCACCCTATTATTTAATCCGGACTTCTAACTTTACGTCTGCAAAAATTCAAAGCAATCGGTTGAGTAATTAAGTCGTGAAGGTGGAACAAACAAACAAACTCACTTTCAGATTTATAATATTATAGTAAGGATTTAATAAATTATTTAATAATTCCCTGATAATTCAGACTACTGTCGATAGTCCATAATACACAGAATGATCTTTGCGAAAGCTATCAGTAAAATCATGACAAAAGTTCTGAATTTAGTAGTACATACATGACCTTATAATAATAATTCTCTTATAAACATGATTTAAAACACCGACTTCAACCTCCTCTTTTGGTTGTTGTCTCTTTTGCCCGTCACAAACTTTTTTCTGAAAGCTGGATCAAAATCGGTTCAGCCAATCATGAAATAATAGCACGAACATAAAAGTCAAACTGAGAACCTACTTTATTTCCTTTTGAAGTCAGTTGTAAATAGCTTGTTTTTATATAAAGATTAAGTCATTTAATTTACGCAAATGTGCAGCTATTTGTATATTTTATAATTATTACAATGATCATACAACATGATGTTACAAACTACGTTTATAACCTACTGTAACACTTCTCTTCATGACCCTGTGGTTGGCTGGTAGAAAATGCCATCTGGCATCTAGCCCGCCATTCATAAATCAACTCATATTTAATCGAATAAAAACTTTTTAAGTTTTGGTAGGAATATTCAAACATTAAGTCGACAACACTGACAATGACAAACGTCAAATTCAATTTGACAGGTTTACCATAACAAAACATTGAAAATCCAAATAAAATGGGTTAATCACTCCCACACTATAAAGAAACACGTATAACCTTTCACCTACTCAATAATACATAAAAATGGAAGAATATATCGGTACAACTCTGACAAAATTGGTAATGCTTTTTGTATTTGTGAGCATAGCTTTTTTATATAAGGACTTTCCAATATTAATCCACGAAAGTTCATCGCAAAGAGATTTTGATTTGGAATTACTGTAATATCGAAGCCCTACACTGTTTAGGTATAATATTTGTGAAATCATTTCATTATTTAGCGATTTTAGTGAGTAATTTTAGTAAGTAGTTTGGTTATAGGAATAATAAGTGAATACCTTTGCCTGGTGTTAACAATATAATAACTAATACTAGTACTATGTAACTACTTCTATCTTCTACCAGCTTCTATGGCCGTGGAACCGGGTAAAAATTGACCTATGTGTTATTTCAGACTATATCTCTGTACCGAGTTTCATTCATATCTTTTTATATTTAGTAGTTCAAACATAGAACTTGTTTATTTATTATATTAGAAGTATAATTAACAATGAAACTTGAAAAAGGTGTCTATAATATATCAATTCTAACATTAATATACTAAAATTGTTGTTTACTAACTGAAGTGTAATCTTGCAAATATCATCAACCAATTCAGCTGCATCTTTTACATTTAAATTTGCATGGTGTGAGCCAGAATGTGGTGATTTATTATTTCATTTAATAACATCTTTCATTTAACTTACCCATATTCTGGAATTTAAAGAATTTGAATTTATAAATAATTCTTGAATAATTATTATACATTATGCTGTAACCAAAAAAAAAAATATAAAGTTTTTGAAATTGAATAATAAACCTTATTGCTTTACAAATAAAATTCCTTTTCAAAGAATGTTTCAATAGTTCTTGAATTTTTTTTATCACATAAACTAGTTTTTTTTTCTATTCTTATTTTAGATATGTTTGGCAAAGGTCACTAGTTATTCAACCTTCAGTATTGATAGATTATTGTTGCCATAATAATAAAAAAACTGTTTTATTTGAGATGTGGTCTCAAGTGTTACTGGGTAGCAAGAGGTCTCAGGTTTCTCTACGGGGCATTGTATAAAAATTATAAATCTTAGTTACTAAAAAAATAATGGTTCACCCACATAAATATACTGAGAAAATCTTTACTAGTTTCCAAGTCCCAGAGGGGTTTTATGAACAGAGTGCGGTCGGGTCTTGGATGCTTTGACGTCACACAGCCCACCTACTGGTTACTTTTTAATTAGTTCAGTATGTCTCACTTACAATAGTTGTTATAAAAAGTTTTTATAAAACTTAAAAAACTAACAAAAAAAACATTTAAAAATCTCATAATGTATCTCATAATCTCATAGCCTTTGGTGAAAAGTGGGTGTTACATTGTTGTGCCCCATTGCCTACCCCTTTTAGAATGAAAAGGCGTGATGTTATATATTATTATGTTTTTTATGTGTATTATCTTTTATTTACAGAAAACAAAACAATTCAGCGAATTAACAATAGTTATCGGCAACGAAAGCTGCGACTTAGACTCTGCAGTCAGCGCCCTAGTTTTCGCCAATTTTCTATACTGGCAACACAATCAAATGAAATGTAAGGTTTGCACCAGAGAGTATAGAGATGGCTCTATGGATTACAAGGATGAATTGTTTCTACCGGTGATAAATGTTGATAGAAATGATTTTCCGTTAAAAACTGAAGTTGCTTTCTTATTTCGTGAGAAAGGGATTAATGCGAGTGATTTGGTTTTCAGGTAATTTTTTTTAATATTACATAGACTATCTTTGTATTATAACTTTCGTGAGACATACCAAATAAATTATTATATTTTTGGCTTATTCACGTAATTATGCGTTGGAGTGTGACACAGTAAGCGCGGTATGTTACACGGTTTTTGCATCGACTCGGGATTCGAACCCAACACCAACGCAGCTACCGGCGGGCGAGTCTAGCGTGCCAACAGTGTCGCGTGAATCACGATAGAGGGCGCGCTGGGCCCCGCAGACTCGAGTAGTCAGTAGAAGCGCGACAGTCGCAGCGTCGCGGGTCGCGAAATGCTGCTCATGAATATGAGCCTCTAGCATGGCTTGAAACTAGTCGAGTTCCTCGTCAAACAATTACGTGAGTAAGCCGAAAACATAATAATTTATTTTGACCAGATTTTTGCCAAGCCAAGAATCTGGTTCGATACCCGGGCGTCTGACCTCTGACCTTCTGGAGAAGCTCAAAGTCGCTCAGCTTGCGATGGAGAGAGCTATGCTCGGGGTTTCTTTGCGCGACAAAATCCGAAATATGGAGCCATTCGCCAAAGAACAAGAGTTACCGACATAGCTCGCAAAATCTGTAGACTAAAGTGGCAATGGGCAGGCCACGTCGCTCGAAGGACTGACGGCAGATGGGCCAGGAAAATCCTTGATTGGTGAGTGGAGTGATGCGGGTGGCTGGCGAGTTGTCGTTCGACGTGGAGGACTAAGGGAGAGGCCTTTGTCTAGCAGTGGACGTCTTCCAGCTGTTGATGATGATGATGATTCGTAAGGATAACTGCGCCCATGATTGCACAGACAATAAGATTTATTATTATTATTATTCCAGAGATGATTATGACCTCCCTGAACTGCTAAAGAGTACAAAATCGAAGGTCGTATTGGTGGACCATCATGTTTTGGCGAACAGAGACAAGTTTTTAGCCGAGTATGTCACAGAGATTATTGATCATAGGTATGTTATAATCCTTACTTCCTTACTAATATTATAAATCGGAAAGTGAGTTTGTTTGTTTGTTCCGCTTTCACGCCATAACTACTAAACCGATTGCATTGAATTTTTGCAGACGCAAAGTTAGAAGTCCGGATTAAATAATAGGGTACTTTTTATCTCGGAAAAATTTGATATTCCCGAGGGAAAACAAAAGTATTGGTATAGATGGCGCTGTGTGTATTAGTATATGTCACATAGGCTACTTTTTATCCTTTTGTGACGCGAGCGAAGCCGCGGGTAAAAGCTTGTTTGTAATTATAAGTTTAAAATCGCCAACCCGCATTGAGCAAGCGTGGTGATTAATGCTCAAACCTTCTCCGTGTGGGAAGAGCTCTTTGGTAAGCAGTGGACACTTATAGGTTTTAGATGTTGATGTATCTGATTGTAGAGGACTACTACTGTAAAAAAGTAGACGGATCATCTGATGGTAAGCAATCAGCGCCGCCCATAGACAGCCGAAACACTAAAAGAGGTACAAGTGCTTCGGCAAGGTTTAAGTGTGGGAGAGCCATGCTTCGGCACGAATGGGCCGGCTCGACCGGAGTGATACCACGGCCGAGCAGAAAACCGACGTGAAGCAACGCTTGCATTGTGTTTCGTCGCTTGAGTAAGATTACCGTTGGCCCAAATGCACCAGTCCCCAACAATCTCAAAAAGCCAGTAACGCACTTGTAACGCGTCTGGTGTTCAGGGTGTCCATGGGCGACGCCGATTGCTTACCATCAGATGATCCGTCTGTTCGTTTACCGGCTTATCCCATAAAAAAGTCCAATACTGCAATGTAAGCGTAAATATGTAAGTTATATATGTTACCGGCAGAACCCGATTTCTGGAAAAACTAGTTTTGCCTAGGCTAAACTAGTTCTTCCTATACGCGTTAGGATGAACTAGTATAGCCTAGTTCAAACTAATTTGTCCTAAGCCCGATAGGATAGGTGCGCCTATTTATATCAGGATCAACTAGTTTGGCCTAGCCTAAACTGGTTTATCCTATCGGGCTTAGGACAAATTAGTTTGAATTAGGCTAGTTCATCCTAACGCGTATAGTAAGAACTAGTTTGGCCTAGGCAAAACTAGTTTGTCCTGAAATCGGGTTTGGCCGGTAACATATATAATACTAGCGGACCCAACAGACGTTGTCCTGCATATCCACTTGAATGTATAAACTAAAATTCATTCAAATTAGTTCAGCTATTTAGGATAAATAACCTAAACATCGACTGCAGCGCCATCTGCCGAGCTGATTTGTGAATCTAAACCATTCCCAGATCCCCTTGAACACACACAAAAAATTTCATCAAAATCGGTCCAGTCGTTTGAGAGAAGTTCAGTGACATACACACTCACAGAAGAATTATATATATAAAGATATAATTATATATGTAAAGAAATAGTATAAATGTCTTTATTTGAATGTTATATAACAGATAACGTTTATATGTCATCTGTCGTCGGTATTTAAATAAAATATCCTAGAATTTACACCGCTCACGTATTTGTTGAAAATAACAATAACTTTATTATTAATTTCATTAATTAAGTATTATAATTGTGATTAGGAACTGGCATTGTTAATAATAACATTAAATGTCGTTTCTTTTCTTACAGGTTTGTAATAGTTTAAACCTTAATAAGTTATCACACATATTTGTTAAATTTTCATATTTTATAAACAATAAATCTTTTCTTACAGAGAAACTCAATTGTGTTTAACTGACTGTGTCGTCCTAATCTAGAAATCTATACATATAATAAAATTGTAGAAAAGTGCTGTCTGTACATTGAAAATAAAAATAAAAAAAATAGCAGGGGTTATTGTTATGTCGATGTCGAACCCAAAAATGTAATTAACTTTTTTTTGTCTGTTTGTCTGTTCACGCTAATCTCCAAAAGTACTGCATGGATTTACTTTACATTTTGCATGAATATTACTAACAGGTCGGGTCGATATATAGGCTACATATTATCACGCTATCACCTACGGGGGAGGAGCTGTGAATCACAATTCCACGCGAATGAAGTCGCGGGCAACAGCTAGTATCATATATATATATATACTGGTACTACGTAAATAAATTACGACAATGAACTCCTCTTTTCTAGGCCCATAGATAAAACCGGCTGGGTATACAAACCGGATACCCGGACAACTATAGAGACTGTAGGCTCCTGCTGTACCCTCGTGGCCCAAAGACTGAAGGACCTGGGCGCTTTGATAGCTAAAGATGTCGATTACTTCAACGCCTATCCGGTCTGCAGTGAGATGTTGCATGGTAAGTGCATTTTTATCCCGAGCGTACGCCTCAAAGAGCCATCAGACCACCACAGATGGGGCCCAACAGGGCCGATGCCGATACGGAGTCGCGGAGAAACTAACGGGTAACCGGGACTCCGGCTCGACGTGCAGGAGAAGGAACGGGGTGGTTTTTAGTCAGTAAGAGTCTGACACTCCCTCCCGCCTCACCCAGGCGGGAGCAGTCATTCGATGATTTTCCCCGCTTAAATAAAAAGACTCCGAATCGGCATCAGCCCTGTTGGGCCCCATCCGTGGTAGTGTGCATCATTAGGTCAGCTTTGACGTTTCGCACTCTGTTTTGGAAATCAAAATTAAATGTTGTTTTTTTATTATAGCTACAATAATATTGGATACGGTGAATTTCTCTAAAGAAGTGAATAAGGGTACACCGCACGATGAAGAGATTTTATTGTTCCTAGAAAGTCTTCTAAAGCCAGCAGATTGTAAAGCTGAAAGGTAAGAATCTTCTTACGTTCCTTCAGAAGATTAATCCACTTGCTTTAGCCAGCGGCTTTGCCCTCGTTCCCGTGGAAAAAATAGGCCTATGTGCTATTCCAGCTGCTGTAGCGAAATGCCATTTAGCGTTTGTCTACGTGTAGAATAGAAAATCAAATTATATGGGACTGGCTTTTACCCGCGGCTCCGCTCGCGTCACAAAAGGATAAAATGTAGCCTTTGTGAAATATACCAATACTCACAGCGTCATCTATACCAATACTTTTTTTCCCTCGGGAATATCAAATCTTTCCAGGATAAAAAGTACCCTATTATTTAATCTCGACTTCTAACTTAACGTCTGCAAAAATTCAAAGCAATCGGTTTAGTACTTACGGCGTGAAACCGGAACAAACAAACAAACTCACTTTCCGATTTATAATATTAGTAAGGATAAGGATATTAGTAAGGATTGACGTAAATTTTGACACTTGTCAGTGTCATCCCCATACATTTAGTTTTCTACTCTCTCTGTAGACAAGCGCTAAACTGGCGTTTGGCTAAAGGCACTGATCATAATCTAGCCTTCTTCCTCGATCCCTTCAGTTGTCTTCAAGGCCCGAGTGAATAGGTTGCTTATGGGTCGACGTGCTCCATCGTAGACCGCATCATCGCTTACCACCAGGCGAGATAGTAGTCAAACATCGGCCCATCAAATATATATATAAAAAAAGTTGTTTTAACTGCCTCGTTGGCCGAGTGGTCGCAAGTGCGACTGCCAGGTAAGGGGTCTCGTGTTCGATTCCCGGGTCGAGTAAAGTATTACTGGGTTTTTAAAAATCTCAGTCGTAGCACGGAGTCTGGAAATGCCCGGTATATGGCAATAGGCTCACCCCCTTTTACATGGGATTATTTTACATCATAACATTAATAGTGTTTAGGGAACAGAGAGTATAGTTCCCTAAGATTGGAAAAGGAGGATCCTCCGACCAGGCGAGGTGATCGTGCCTGGCGGGCTTTCTGCCCAACAGTCGTTCGTTGGGATTGACTATCCGTGTTAATTCGCATGTAAACTTTACATGTGCGATGTAGGATTTTTGTGACATGTGTCGCGAAAACTTTTATTGTATTCAACACCAAACGAAGTATGGCGATTGAATGCTTTGACGTTGTGTTTGCCTTACTCCCCTTCTGAAAACTAACTTCCGTGAAAAAAGAAAAATAAGTTGTACTTTATAATTTACTAGCTTTTACCCGCGGCTTCGCTCGCGTCACAAGAGGATAAAAAGTAGCCTATGTGACATATAACAATACACACAGCGCCATCTATACCAATACTTTTGTTTTCCCTCGGGAATATAATTTTTTTCCGGGATAAAAAGTACTCTATTATTTAATCTGGACTTCTATCTTTACTTCTGCAAAAATTCAAAACAATCGATAAAGTAGTTACGGCGTGAAGGCGGAACAAACAAACAAACAAACTCACTTTCCGATTTATAATATTAGTAAGGGTTTGACTGCACGGTTGGCACGGTGGCTGGGCAACTGGTTGCCGTGCAACGTGTCGCAGGTTCGATTCCCGCACGGAACTACTCTATTTGTGATTCACAGATTATTGTTTCGGGACTGGGTGTCATGTGTATGTGAACTTGTATGTTTGTAAACGCATCCACGATACAGGAGATAATTCTAATGTAAGGCATCGTTTTAAAAAGGAAAAGATTTCTTTAATTATTATATATATGGTATATGGCAATAGTCTCACCCCCTATTACATGGAACTCGTAACATAAATAGTGAAAAGTGGGTGTTGCATTGTACAGTCGCATAATGTGCATCTCTGCCTACTCCTTCGTGGATAAAAGGCGTGATTTTATGCTAGGTTATGTCCAAAAAGATTATAAGGCGAGTAGTAATATTATGAAACCTTTAATTTTATCCGCAGGGAAAAGGAACTAAATACTTTGGTAACAGCCAGGACGGACGTCTCCCAGCTGTCAGCCGCCCAGTTGTTAAGGAAAGATGTGAAAATTGTGGGAAACGTACTTGTGCCAAGTTTTCCTATATTGGTAAAGGTAAGATTATTTTTTATGACATAAGCCTTTAAACGAGCAGACGGATCACCTGATGGTAAGCAATCGGCGTCGTCCATGGACACCTGCAACACCAGAGGCGTTACAAGTGCGTTAACGGCCTTTTGGGGATTAGTTTGGAGTTTGAGGATTGTGGGGGATTCCGGGTTTATTGAGTTTGGGAAAGGGGAAAGGGTAGCTCTGCCTCCGGTAACCTCACTCACACGACGAAACACAACGCAAGCGTCGGTTTTCTGCTCGGCCGTGGTATCACTCCGGTCAAGCCGGCCCATTCGTGCCGAAGCATGGCTCTCCCACACTTATGTTCTAATAAGTATGTAAATAAGATTATGGTTTAAATCATGAATCTCTTCAATAGATTTTCCTATTATAGATTTTGATTTTTTTTTAGTTAGCGACCGATTTTTGTCGTTATCATTGTCGATACTTCCAAGTTCTATGCATACATACATAACCTCATGCCTATCTCCCATGATGGTAGACAGAGACTATGGAACGCCAATTGCTACGATTCTTACGAATTCTTCACAGTAAAAAATCATAATATTATAGTGCCTCTTTGCCTCCTATCCAAATGCAATCTAATAACTACATAGTATAAAACAAAGTCGCTATCCGCCGTCTGTCTGTCCCTATGTATGCTTAGATCTTTAAAACTACGCAACGGATTTTGATGCGGTTTTTTTTAATAGATTGAGTGATTCTTAAGAAGGTTTATAGGTTTAATACATGCATATGCACCCGTGCGAAGCCGGAGTGGGTTGTTAGTGTTTGTTGATATATAAAAAATGAAACCCGTTTCCCGTTGTCACGCCATAACTTGAGAACGGCTACACCGATTTGGCTAATCTTTGTTTTATTGTGTTTGTTATTGTCAGGAGAAGGTTCTTATGATAGAAAAAATCCTGAAAATCCTATGGGAACGGGAGAAAACGGGATTGCGCCAAGTCGCAGGCAGAAGCTAGTATTTGATAAAATATTAACATCAAGATCAAATTAAGTTATTTTCTATTCAAAGTCAAAGTCAAAATCATTTATTTCAATTAGACCAGGCACTTTTGAATGTCAGCAATAGAAATTTAAAAGTGAAGCTATTTGCTCATTCCCAGGTGTAGATTCTATAAATGTTGTGTGAGATGACGAGCTGTGGCATGATATTATAATATAATACTTAAAAATATTTAAATTCAACATTGATCTTGTCCTTTTGATTTTTCATTGCAGTAATAATAGGAGTTGCCCATTGGCAACTCATCTCATCATTCATTCATTTATGAGAATGAATATTTAAAATGTAATTAGTCCGTCAGTTAGATAATGAAAAAATATTAGACACGTATTTTTTTATTTTCTCGTATAAAGTTACAATACTTAGATAAAATGGCGTTACTTTCTAAATTCAAATTCAAATTTGAATTTGAATTTGTGTTACTTTCTATTGCATTGAATTCACAGCATAACTTCCCAAAGCATGGGAGGTCCTTACGTCATAAAGTGCCACACAATGTAGCACGTTTTGACGTCACACGATATTTCAAATTAATATATCGTCGAAAGAACTCAATTTTGTGAGAAAAAAAATGTTTTAAAACAATCTACCCGACGGACATTAAAGCAAAAATTAGAAAACTAAGTACTCTATTATTATGACTGTTCAACAGTGCGTGTAATCTATATATATAAAAGAAAGTCGTGTTAGTTACACCACTTATAACTCAAGAACAGCAGAATAGATTTGGCTGAAAATTGGTAGGGAGGTAGCTTAGAGCCAGGAGACCGACATAGGATACTTTTTAACCAATACTTTTTTTTACTTTTTACCGAAAATCACGAACGGGGACGGGAAAAATAGGATTACGCGTACGAAGTCGTGGGCAGAAGCTAGTTATTAACATTATTAAAATAAATTTCTTCTCAGAGTAGTCAGTTAGGAAATGTCGACCTCATCGTTCGCTTGATAAAATTGACGTGTAAAAGTGCTGCCTTGTAGCCTATTTGCAGAAATAAATTCACTTGTTTCACTCGTAATGCTTTTACTTTGTTTAACAGGAGTTTCTAAGTCGTCCTGAAGCTTTAAAGGCGGTGTCCGAAGCCCTAACTCAAACTAACTGTGACGTAGCTCTACTCCTGGGTATGGATTTAAGTGAAGGCCTAAAAAGAGACACTGCTGTGTTTTCTACGAGTAAACCACAAAAAGCTGTGTTGGTAAGATGGTTTATAAAAATTTTATTATAAAAATCTTTTCTTATTTTGTCTTTTTAACAATCTGCCTGCCTCGTTGGCCGAGTGGGCACAAGTGCGACTGCTACGCAAGAGGTCTCGAGTTCGATTGCCGGGTCGGGCAAAGTATTACTGGGTTTTTAAAAATGTCAGTAGTAGCACGGAGTCTGGAAATGTGCCCGGTATATGGCAATAGGCTCACGAAAAGTGGGTGTTATATTGTACAGTGGTATAATGTGCACCTCTGCCTTCCCCGTTCGGGGATAAAAGGCATGATGTTATGTTATGTTATTTATTTTATAATGGCTAACCCATGGCTAACCACTCGATTAATGATACAGCACTTATAGGTTTAGGTAGGTACTATGCTATAAAATAAATTTATTTTGTGCATCTTATGTATCTTATGTAGAATCCCTAATAACTACATCTATAAACTAATCATTGAACCTCTTCAGTAATTTTCCCAATATTTTGTTTCAGTTAAGCAAATTTCTAGAAGACTTCAAGTCTCCCTCGCTGGGCCTGTCGTCGGAGCAGTTGGACAACGCCATGCATTGCTCCTACTACTGGCAGCTCAACCTCAGCGCGTCACGCAAGCAATATATTCCCGCGCTGAATCAATTTCATGGAATTTTGTGATAATTTATTACAGTTTGTTCATTTTAAAGTTGATATTTTGTTTTATTTTACCTAAACATTAACTAAATTCTCAGTACTTATCACTACATAGTATAAAACAAAGTCGCTATCCGTCGTCTGTCTATATGCGTAGATCTTTAAAACTACGCAAATACGATTGCATGATTCTTAAGGAAGGTTTATGTGTAGAATAGGTATTATATATTACCTACATGCATATTGTACCCGTGCGAAGCCGTTGCGGGTCGCTAGTAAGTTATAAAATGAAAACATATTTTTTGTGTATATGTGAAAATTGGGCCGTTAGAATTATTAGAGTAGATTTAAAGACTTCAATTTGCCGCCATCGAACAGGTAGCACAGATAAATAATACCTTCCTAATTTTTTTTCAATTACGCCAAGGAAATTATGGTATGAAATACCTATTGCTTATAGTGCATAACAGCTAGCTTGTAGATAAAAATGCCTGTTATATCCTTTCTACAAGCTATCGTTTGAAAATACAATATTAATTATTTATGTTTGACTTAGTTTGTAAAGCTTGATTAGTAATAAAAATATTAACATAGATGCCAAGACTACGCTTAAAAAAAGTAAAAAAAATATAGTTGACTTGTCTTTGAATCTTGTTGAGAAAAATTCAAATTTTTAAACCTACATACAATCATATAACTAAAATATGCGTTTTAATTTGCGTAAAAGGACTCCACTGAGTTATTACGAGCCCGACGAACCAAAATTCGACGAGTATTTATGTGAGTACCTATTTAGAACTATGTAAATCAAAAAGTTAACGTTTTCCCGCCGAAACAAAAAAAGCGGGCAAAAATTGTAAAATCGAAACTATTATTATGATTCTCTCACGCAGATTGTGAAGAATGCGCCGACTTCGTTTACGATTACTGCTCAATTCATGGACCGCTATTGGTCGTGCCAGATGATAAGGTATAGTTATTAACAATCAAAAGAAAAAAAGCATTTAATAGACAAGTAGGCAAACAAATACAAAGTTTATAAATAAATTAAAATACAGATACTACAAAATCATAATAATAAACGCAAAAGGACAATTTGTCCACTCTATACATTATAATAAAACACAATGGTCTTCTGCTTCGCCAATAACTAAATATTAACATAACGTCAGAAATTTTAATCCCGGAACGAGGTAGACAGAGGTATAACGCAGCACCCACTTCACCAATATTATGTAATAAGTTCCATGTAATAGGAGATGAGCAAACATCGACTTTATATAGATTTTGTTGTAGTTAAAACCTCTGTTAGATTTAAAATATGTTGCCCTTTTTTCTAAACACAGGTGCCAACAAAGACTGGCTTACCATCTTACGTACCTCGAGCTGCACTGACTATACCCAATGTGTTCCTGCATTTAGCACCATCGATAATACCAGGTAAGATTAATGTAAATAATATCTAAGATAACTGTTGCTCATGAGAATGAGATGAATGGAAGTTATAACTCTACTAGCTGCTGCACAACCGATCTCGGGAACTTTCGTTTACGATAGTTTTAAGTCAAATTTCCGTGGTGGTTGGTGATTGGGCTTCTTCCGGTTGCGCAGTCCCTGTTTGTGCCTTTAGACTTAATTCATTCTGTCTCCTGCAGTAATATGCAGAGGGAAGTGGAAACTAACATTTTTTTCTTTATAATTCACTTCACATAATTTCTTCTAATTCACTTCGTTGCGGGAACCAAGACAGTTATTCATGTTTCTGGGACGCGCTGGACTTCAGTGTTCCGGTGTTTTCATGGTTGTATCTATTGTAGATCCTGGCTTACAGGAGTTGGACCGGTTTTTTGGAAGTTGTGGCGCGCTTGTCCTAATTTAAAATAAAAATAAAAACCTATCGCGGTTTCGATTTCCGCGTATAATCCATTAATTGTGGTTCCCGTTGATGTTTATACGTAAATATGTGTTAGTAAATGCACCTATGATGTGAACATGAAACACGAGAATATCCAAACGTGGGACTTCGCTTTAAAAAGTATTCTATTTTATACCATCCATCGTGAAGTAACGGCATGACGTTTATTATGAACTAGCTACTTCCGCGCGGTTTCACTCGCTCTGCTCGGCGCCTATTAATCCTAGCGTAATATGTTATAGCATATAGCCTTCCTCGATAAATGGGCTATCCAACACAGAGAGAATTTTTCAAATCGGACCACTAGTTTCGGATATTAGCGCGTTCAAACAAAAAAAACAAACTCTTCAGCTTTATAATATTAGTATAGATTTCTATTTTATTGAGAAGTGGGCTATAATTTCTAAGTATTGTTCTGATTATCTCTTTTAGGTGCTGGGTTAGGAGTGTTTAGCACTTTAACGTTACCCCGTGGCGTACGTTTCGGACCATACCGTGGACAACGCACACAAAATGTAGATTCTATGTACTGTTGGCAGGTAAGTAATCTATACTAAAATATTATAAAGCTAAATTTAAGAGGTCATTTCTTTGAACCAGCTTGTGAACACTACTGGTTTTAATTGAAAAAAATATTCCGTGGTGAATACTCCATTTATCGACTAAGGGCTTTAGGTTATGGAACATTATGGTTTTTTTGTGGGATATTGTATTCCTCCTATTGTAGCGTGATGTTTTACAACTTAAAGCCTTCCTCGATTAATGGACTATCCAACACAAAACGATTTTCTCAAATCGGACCAGTAGTTCCTGAGATCAGTACGTTGAAACAAACGAACATTTATCCCCAAGCGGTTACCGGTGACCGCTCTCCACTAACTACATTATAGACCTTATTTCCAAAGTTTAAGGACTACTTTTGTATGAACAAATGTAGGGGATGATATTTTAACAAGTTAAATAATATCCCATTTTTCCAAAATCCCAGATCTACACCGACTACAATAGACGGGCCCATGTTATAGACGCGGCAGATAGTAACTCCTCGAACTGGATGAGGTATGTCAACTGTGCTAGACATTGGAAGGAGCAGAATCTACTCGCTTATCAGTATAAAGGACAACTTTACTACAGGTATAATTTTCTATCATTTATTTTATTTTTACTAAACTTTTATTATGCATAATTTATTTATTTATTTATTTATAAGCACATGTATAACTTTACAGCACAAGCCAAAACATTATACAGTTAAACAATAAAAAATGTTACTTATTTACTATTTTACACTTATGTGATAGGTATCTTATATAAAAAAGTACAATAATTATAATTTCATTCAGAACAGAACGCTTAAAATTTTTGATATCTTATATAAAAAAGTACAATAATTATAATTCGTGCTTGGTACTCTGCTAGGCTATTTGAAACGTTAGGTTATACGAAAGAAGTATATAAGAATCTTAGCAATTGGCGTTCCCTAGTCTCTGAGTCTCTGTCTACCCCCATAGGAAACAGGCCTGAAGTTGTGTATGTATGCTTTCTTAATAATCTGTTAAATATTTCAGAACAATAAAAATAATACCTCGTTTCACTGAGTTGATGGTATTCTACGGCAGTGAGTTTGCTAACGCTCTCCATATTAACTTGACGAAATACAATAATGCTAAATATTATGGAGAAGTTACCCGTAAGTCTTAATATCATTTTACTAACTTAATTAATGTTTTATACGCGTTTGTTTAGTATTTTAAAGAAGTTAGTGAGTTTCTTTCGATTAAAAAAATGTTTTGTCGTCACAGGTACACTAAAACCACTTCGGACCAAAAAGACAGTAGTAACAAAATCTCAGGAGTTTGACACTGAAGAACATTTCAATATAGCCGACGAAGAAATTGAAAATAATGATTCAAATCAAACTTTATCTGAAATGAACACCAAAACTGTTGAATCAAAAAACTTAGAAGTATCAGAAACTGAAGTACAAGACCCTACTCCGATGGAAATCGAAAAAGTTGAAGCAATATACAAAACATCTATAGAAAACTTTCAATTTTTCAAAATTAATGAAGATAATCCTAAAAAATCTACAATTACCTCTGAAACTACTGAAAATAGTACTTCAGAAGAAAATCCAGGGAAAAAGATAAGACAGTGCGAATTTTGTGAAAAAATTATGTCTAGAAAACATTACTCGAGTCATATACAAAAACACCTAAATCCTAATAGATTCGCCTGCTCTTTCTGTCCTTATACGACTTTCAGAAAATACGCATTCAACCTACATTTAAGTATACATACAAAAAATTATAAATATGCCTGTGATCTTTGCGATTTTAAGACTAGTTACGGTAGAAATTTGAGATTGCATCGTGCCAAACATGAAAATCGTGTAACTGAAGTCGTTATTAAACCTCCAAATCAGATATCTGAAAAGATTTGCAAAATATGTGGGTTTAAAACTACGTCTAGAAATGTTATTGAAATTCATAGGAGAAAACATAGGGATGTTAAGCATTCGTGTGATTTGTGTCCGTTTAGTACCTTTCATAGGTATAGTTTAAAGCGGCATCGCCGCACAGTTCACCCGCCAAAGTAATGTTACCCTTATCCCAAGTTATAGCTTAGCAAAAATGAGTCTGACGCGGTGACTCATCTACTTCAGGCCGTATCCCATGAATGAACATCGAAACATAGTACCTCTTCGTTTTAAACTCGCTAAAAATATCAAATATCAAAACCGATTGAGTAATAGTGTACACTATTACTCAGTCGATACGATACTCGTCAGGTTGCCTCAAGTACGATACTAGCGACCTCAATATCAAACTCGTTTTTGCCAAGCTGTGCTTAAAACTGGCATAAAATATATTTTTTTGATAAATTTCTCCTCCGAGAGTAGGGTGGTCTGATGATGAAGTGAGGGTCCATGAACTAAAATACTTTTTTCTGATTTATTTCTCTCTACTGCGTAAAAAGTACCAAAGAAACAATGTAGTAGAATAGCAATATAATTTTAATCCCAGTATTATAATATTAGTTTTTAATTTTATATTAATTTTAATATTTAAGTCGTAAAAACCTTCCTTGAGAAGTCGTTTAATTTGAAATTTTTGAATCAATTTCTGTTTTAACTTTGTTTTAAAAGTATTTTAGTCAGAATATTATTATTTTTCCTAGAATAAAAATCCAAATTTCTCTGATCGAATTGAATAAATGTTATTCTAATTCTAAAATTTGTCGTGATTATGATTGAATTAATTAAGAATATCTAATAAAACGATATTGTTGTTTCAAATGCATGAATAATTGTTGATTTACTTTAAGTTCCTAGTATTAAAATAAAATAATAAACGACTATTAAAAAATAATGATACTTTTATTTAAATATTGCACGTAAGTTGTGTCGTAACGAGAAACGGATTAAAACAAGAGAACGCCTGAGACAAGACCTTCATAGTTGCCCCTAATTTTTTGGCCCCCTCGCCACAATATGGGCAGTTAGGCACACCCGCACCTTCTAAAACCTGGCACCTTAGACACTTGCCTAATTTGCCGTAGGGAGAATTCAGCTCTGATCGTAACCTGCTAGGATAACATTAAGGTTTTCAATTTTTGATAGATTTGACTTACTTATTTTAATTATAGTACAAACATCCAGCATTAAAGAAAATCTATTTCGAGGGGTAACGGACTATTTGGTTTAAGCGACATTTTGGGCGATATTGAGTTATATATATATATTCGGAATCAGCGAATTTTTCTCCGTCGAATATATATAATAACTAAATATCGCCCAAAATGTCGCTTAAACCAAATAGTCCGTTACCCCTCGATTTGGTATTCTAAACTCGGATTTTTTAATAAGAATTAAAGAAACGCTATACCAAACTAAAATACAAACTATCTTTTTTCTCTGTACTATTGATTGGGCAAGCAGACGATAAGTATATGTGAAATTGGCGAAGCGTAAAATAAGTATGTTTTCTTTTTTCAATTTAAACCTTTCTTTAAATTAATTTATTTTAAGTTACATATTTCTTACAATTTTAATTATTAGTTTTATTATTTAAACCGCAACTTATTGCTTTCTTTATTTTAAAATAATTATGTTTAATTTATTTCACCTATAACATCGGGAACTCATCCCATTTTACAACAAAACGTAAATACTAAATACGCATAAACAATCTGTGGTAATTTTTGTTATCACTTTGACATTAAATTCTAACCTCTATAGTTCACGCGAATATTTGGTAAACATACACATGTGAGCTGTTAATAGAAAAATAATAAATAAAACAATGCCTCAACTACACATAGACGAAGTTTATCCAAAAGAAAGCGTATACCCAATGGTTGTTAACTTTCAAAATGGTTACATAACACAAAAATTCAAGACAAGTGAATGCGTTTTACTGCAAGACGAAAAAAGTGGGAAAAAGACTGTGGCAACGGAGTTATGCGACTTAATATACAGCGGAGAAGAAGAACAAGAAGATTTAGGGCGAACTTTGATACTGGCACGGGACAAAACAACGGGAAAAGTGCGTTTAATAGAAGTTGGTACTGTCGAGTTGAAACCGTGCTTACAATCAAATTTAGACACTACGGAAGTAATGGAAAATAGTTATTTAGAGCTCAGTAGAAAGTTCGGATCAAAAAAGCATAAACAGATAATGGAACAACGTGAAAAATTGAAGATTAATGTTGACACTGTCACCGAACAAATGCATAATGTCACTGCAAGCGTTACTGAAGACCAGCTAGACTTATCTTCTTACAACAAAAACGATTCCGATGAGTTCTACATACCCCCTATAAACAGAGGAGCTACTAAAGTTGAAGAAGTGTATGATATTGACACTATACTAACTCCGGAACAGCGTGAAAAGATCTTTAGCGAAATACAAGGAACAAAGTATTTAACAGAGTTAAATCCTTTTTTGAAATCTATGGCAGCAAAAGATCTATCGGAGAAACAAACTGTTTTACTTGTATATGCACAAACGCTACTACAATTATATGCAACACTAATGAAAGATATAAACCGTAAGAACTTCGCAGCGTGTCCATACTCCGTGACTCTAAATGATATTGTGCTGAAAAATTTCTTAAGTAATGTAAACGGTAAACGAGGACGCTCGCCGCAGTATAAAGACAAGTCGTTATGTCACGCGTTAGTTTTTATTTTATTGTTGAATAATTATAAGTTTAATTTCGATGAATTATGTCAGGAGTTGAAGTTGACTCCGCGGACTGTTACATCGAAGGTTGCGTTGACTGGTGCGACACTGGTAACGATTGGTACGAAGAAGATTGCTCAGTTAAAGTTACCGTTAAGTAGACCAGCATTGAGAAGGAAAAGTACTAAGTTTTAAATATAGGTTTGACATTGTATATTGTTGTTTTATTTTATACTTTTTAGTTTTTAACAAATCGTTTTTTGTTTATTTACTACTAGACTAGCTATTCCCGCGCAAAAAACACCCAGTGCTCGGCTCATACTCAAAGTCAAAGTCAAAACATTTATTTCAATTAAACCATAGTTTGGTACTTTTGAAACGTCAACAAATACAAAATAAATAATAGTCTGTCAGTCAGTCCGTCAGTTAAAGCTGCAATACAAATGCTAATACAACAAGTGTGTACAGGTGGACTTAATGCCTTGGGGATCGTCTCCCAATCAACCTTAAACACCCTCACGGCCAGAGTATTATTTTTACACGTGTTATTATTATTACATTTTGTATCAAAAATTATACACACGGCCTACAAAATATACCATCAGAAATATAGAGGTATATTTAATGGGCCAATACTTGCTCCTAAAATCCTGAAAAATGAAGGGAAAATGGCTGATGAGAACACAACAGTAATAACATAACATCACGCATTATCCACAAAGAGGTAGGCAGAGATACACATTATACCATTGTATTATGTAACACCCCCTTTTCACTATTTATGTTATGAGTCCCATGTAATAGGGGGTGAGTCTATTGCCATATACCTGGCATTCCTACGATTCCAGTCTCCGTGCTACTACTGAGAATTTTCTAAAAACCCAGTACCTACCTAATACTTTGCCCGACCCGGATATCGGACCCGAGATCCCTTGCCTGGCAGTCACACTTGCAAACACTCGGCCAACGAGGCAGAGGCAGAGCAACAACAAAACAGTAATAAATATAATTAAAGATCATTCATGTATTAAGCTAAGCTCCAACCTGTTGCGCTGCGACGCACCATAGGCTTTTTGTATGTTCCTAAATTCTTGTTGTGTGTCGTAGCAAAATAAATGGTTTTTCTTTCTTTCTTTCCTTTCTTTAAAAAGCATATTAGGGAGAAAAAATCTAACATCATAAACTGAGGTTTGGCAGTAGGTACATATTGCGTAGTGCAAATATGAAGTAGCAGGTCATTAAGTAACTTTATAAACAGGCAATATATCAGTATTAGTCATAGCGTGATGGTTTAGCCTATAGCAGGGGTTCCCAAGCATATTTCAGCTGTCGCGGAGAACCTAACTGGTAACCAGGGCTCCGGCTCGACGTGCAGGAGAAGGAACGGGGTGATTTTTAGTCAGTAAGAGTCTGACACTTCCTCCCGCTTCACCCAGGCGTGAGCAGGCATTCGATGATTTTCCCCCTTTAAAAAAAAAGTATATTTCAGCAATTATTGTGTCGCGAGTTCGATTCCCGCACGGAGCAACTCTGTGTGTTTTTTTTATAGCATAAGCCGGTAAACGAGCAGACGGACCACCTGATGGTAAGCAATCGGCGCCGCCAATGGACACTCAACACATCAAGGCGTTACAAGTGCGTTACCGGCTTTTTGGGAATTGGGAATTTGAGGATTGTGGAGGATTCGGGAGACTAGGGACGAGGGTAATTGGGCCTCCACATTGATCCAAAAATTGTTGTTTCCGGTCTAGGTGTGATGTGAACTTGTATGTTTCGCACAGGAGACAACCTCAGCGGGGGCAACGTTTCTTAAAAAGAAACTACTAAAAAAGCAGTTAGTATATTGTCTATATCTTTATATATATAATTCTTCTGTGAGTGTGTATGTCACTGAACTTCTCTCAAATGACTGGACCGATTTTGATGAAATTTTTTGTGTGTCTTCAAGGGGATCTGGGAATGGTTTAGATTCACAAATCAGCCCGGCAGATGGCGCTGCTTTCGATGTTAAGGTTATTTATCCTAAACAGATGAACTAATTTGAATGAATTTTTGTTTATAAATTCAAGTGGATATGCAGGACAACGTCAGTTGGGTCCGCTAGTTACCTATAATTCTATATACCTAATATATAAAAATGAAACCAGTTTCCCGTTATCACGCCATAACTTGAGAACGGCTAGACCGATTTGGCTGATTTTTTTGTTGTGTTTATTATTGTCAGGAGATGACAGAAAAAAGTCCTGAAAATCCTACGGGAACGGGAGAAAACGGGATTGCGCGTACGAAGTCGCGGGTAGAAGCCAGTTATAAATAAAACCACATTTTATATAGACATTGCTTGTAATACTTTAAATTATTATGGAACTTATCAACATTTTCTTGTAAAACATAAAATATTAATATTATGACAGAACAGATGCCTTCGTACGAATTTGTTTTCGTTTAAAGTAATCGTAACGAGTACGCGTTGGGCGCTGTGATTGGTACCGCTGCAATGGCAGCGAGCCCAGCTGTCGGTTGCGACAGTCGTTGCTGCCATTTCGCCATGATCCTAAAGGGTATAACTTGGGTGTCTTCAAGGCCCGAGTGAATAGGCATCGCTCATCGCTTACCACCAGGCGAGATAGTGGTCAAACGTCGGCCCATCAAATCTTTATATATATAATTCTTCTGTGAGTGTGTATGTCACTGAATTTCTCTCAAACGACTGGACCGATTTTGATGAAATTTTTTATGTGTTTTCAAGGGGATCTGGGAATGGTTTAGATTCACAAACCAGCCCGGCAGATGGCGCTGCAGTTTATACATTTTTATTTTTTTATAAATTCAAGTGGATATACAGGACAACGTCTGTTGGGTCCGCTATTATACGAATAAAAAAAATCGCGCTACTTCACCCAACGTCAATGGTGACACGTGTTGCAGGGCATTTGTCCCCTACTGTATCCTTTGCTTTACATGTTAAATAAAATACAACTATATTCCATTAACATAACATACATTTTTCAATGACAACATTTCACATACAACTTAATTTTTTATCAAATGATAAAGGACTTTACACCTATAAGAATAAATTTCACAATAAATTGTCACTAACTCTACGTACATAATTCAGTCAATATTAAAATTATTAACATAAACATCTTACTTATGACTTCAAATGAGAAATAAACAGATCTGTATACAAAATATCTAATAGCCACAATTCATAACATGTTCCCATATTCAGATAAATTTCGATTCTATATACATACTAATAAAATTCATTTGAGAATAACTAATACTGTTAAAATCTGCCCGAGAATGTAGGCCTCCTCTGGTCATTGGGGGAAGGCTCATATTTAGCACTAACTAAAGCGGGGAAAATCATCGAATGACTGCTCCCGCCTGGGTGAGACGGGAGTGAGTGTCAGACTCTTACTGACTAAAAACCACCCCGTTCCTTCTCCTGCACGTCGAGCCGGAGACCCGGTAACCCGTTATATTCTCCGCGACACTATAGTGGCTTTAAGTCTTTAATAATCTGATATAAAATTAAATATGAATAATATTTTAAAAATAAACTTAAACTTATTGAGTATCTTACTTATTTATCATCATCATCATACTTATCGATCATATTTCAGTCAAAACTTAATACACATTTAATCCCGGATAGGGTAAACATAATATATTCAGCTAAGTGATTTAGTACGCAGAGAAAATATAGATTGATTCAGTACAAAGACAGTAACCATTGGTTGTCTAGAGCCGACTGAGTTACAAAAGATATGGCGTTACAAAGCGTACTATAGGGTAGATGAATAATTTTTATTTTAATGTCCGTCTGGTAGATTAATTTAAAACATTAGACACGTATTTTTATTTTCTTACAGAAACGAATACTTTCGACGATATATTGATTTGAAATGTCGCGTGACGTCACTTCTATGTTAACTTTCTATACGTAGAAATGACGTTTTACTCCTCACTCCTAAACTTTGATTCGTTTTATCTAAGTGTCATTTTATTATACAAAATAAAAAAATACGTGTCTAATATTTTTTAATTTTTTTATGGGATAATCCGGTAAACTAGCAGACGGATCACCTGATGGCAAGCAATCGGCGTCGCCCATGAACACACGCAACACCAGAGGCGTTACAAGTGCGTTACCGGCCTTCTGGATTAGGAAATTGAGGATTGTTGCGGGATTCAGGGATTGGGAATAGGGGGGGTAATTGGGCCTCCGGGAACCTCACTAACACACGACGAAACAAAACACAACGTTGTTTCACGTCGGTCTTCTGTGAGGCCGTGGTATCACTCCGATCGAGCCGGCCCATTCATGTCGAAGCATGGCTCTCCCACACTTCATTACCTAACTGACTGTCATCATCCCTATTTAGTACAACTATAGTTACTGTCTCTGTACTGAATCAATCTTTTTTTTCTTACCTGCACACTGAATGACTTGATTGATTATGTTTGCTTATAACTTATACTATTATGTAACTTCAAGTCATATAAAAAGAGATTATAATACTTTGATTGAAACAGAAATCGAACGCCATACGTCCTGTCCTGCCACTAACCAAACATTGATAATATAAAATTTACAACATAGACATCGAACCTGCGAGTTTAAAAACATATACTTGGTTTTATAGTTTTTAAGGATATAGAAACAGTCATTTAGCATAACTTCTGCGCACTTTCTTCAGTTCAATTATTTGCGGTCTATGATAAACCTGAACCTTTTATACTGCGATCTTCAACCGCCTGCCTGCGGAGATTATGGCGAACCCTCTTATGTAGAGGAAGCTGAGTTAGCACGAACTACGACGTGCTATTGTTAATGTTCTTGAGAGCTCACATTTTTGTCAAAATCTCTCCTTTTTTAAGGGATAAACAACCAGACGAATCGCCTGATGGTAAGTGATTAACTTCAACCATTGAATCCTTATATACCAGAGGAGTTCCACAATGCACATGCGTTATCTACGGCGAAGGAGGCTCCATTTTAATGTCAGTCTCAGTGATATCATGTAACTCCATTTTAACATCCAACGTGGTACTTTCCGGAAGCATATCGTGGAACGCTCCAAAATTGCGAGCTCGTTGTCATCTTCGCTCATTTCTGCAGTACACAGTTCACTCAAAATCATTTTACTCT